AAAATAACATGTGTTATATATATATATATATATATATATATATATATATATATATATATATATATACAATTTTGAAATGTAGCACAATATATAAATTTAAACTAACAAATTCACCACAAACCACAGATATCCATCTGTATACCAAATAGGCTAAATAATCGTATATCTAAGACAAATTATCTTTCGATGAATTTAAATGATGCAATTAATTTTTGTTCTTCCGCTCCAGTCGGTTTTATTTTGTTAAAACAAATCATTGGTCATGATAAATTTGACTTGTATATTTTCCAGTTAAAATTTAGTCACCCACTCTGAGATATGTTTGTAGGGTGCTGTAGCATACATACTATATTCAGTTTTTAATCTATTTCCATATCAAGTAATATAAATTGCTATTTATGATTTAAGTTTTGTTCATGCTAAGATCTGAAGCTCACTGTTGTTAATTTGTAGGGTAAATGTCTAACTTGTGAAGGACGTGATGACATCAAGGATTTTGCAGACATCCGGTCTGCTATGAAAGTTCTTAACTTTAATGATGGTCACATCTATGAGCTGTTGAAACTTCTAGCAGCCATTCTGGAGTTTGGAAATATTGAATACGATGCCATTGAGACATCTAATCTAGAGGCTGTTTGCTTCAGAGGTCACAAACAAACTGAGGCAATTTCAAAGATTCTGAAGGTTGGTGTTTATTTCAGAAAAAAATGAAATCACAAATATAAAGGCTCAGTCTCAGGTTAATTGCAAAAAATTAGAGATACTCTACATGTGAAAGCAAAGCTTCTTATTATGAGCCTAAATAATGGCAAATATAAAATTTGGACTTGATGCGAGTTCTCCAAACAAAAAGTAGAAGTAATATTAATTCATTATACAATTACAGCAAATCGATAGAAACTTACACAAAGTGGTTTCATTACATAATTATTATCATTTGCACATTGCATAAAATCTAGGACTGTGTTTAGGTATGTTTCTTTGATACTGTGTTTAGTGTTCTTTTGAAATTATTTTTGTGCGTGTCATTTATGTGTTCCTATAAAATAGGTGTCAGAACCTATGCTGTTATTTGAACTTTTGAAAACAAGATATAAATATATTAAATACAGTTATAGTATTGGAAATGCACTGATATATATTAGTATTGCTATATATTTCATATCTAAATTCAATCAAATATTATGCCACTACTATTTGTCTTTCACCAAAGCTATTTTTTATATTCATTTTGTATAATTTTAAACATTTCATTTTATTTTATTGCCATTTATCAACATAGAAGTGAATAGAATTATACGGAAAATTTCCTACAGAATTATTGACTTCAGACTGAAATAATTTCTGTACAGGTGAATCTTGATGCTTTGGAGAATGCTTTATCAACAAAGAAAACCGTCGCTGCGGGCGAAGTCGTTGTATCGCCAGTCAACAAAGCCAAAGCAATTGACATGCGAGATGCCTTCGTCAAGGCCATATATGGCCGCATGTTTATCTGGGTCGTTGGTAAGGTAAATGATGCAACATTTCAGGCCAAATCCAACGCAAATGATATTAGGGTCAGCATTGGTGTTCTGGATATTTTCGGATTTGAGAACTTTGGTAAAAACAGGTAAGAAAGAAGAATTTTTGTTATTGTACCTAACGTATATGCCTTTTAATGGTTCTGGTTGCGGTGGGTAAAGCTGACCTCCTGAGGACTCCAAAAGTGTAGAAGTATATAAAAGAGTTTCTGATATATGGACATTTTTTACATCATCAATTGCTGATGATGAATTATTGTATATTTTAGGAGCAGACTCGGTTTCTTTTTGTGATGATTCTGCTTTTATTTTTGATAGTTACTGTAAAAATTATGCAATAAATGCCTGGGAAAAACGCTCAGAATTAAAAAAGCATTATTTTTTACTTGATTTTTGTAATTCCTGTTTTAATTTAGATTTCATTTTTTTTTGACGTTTTGATTCTGTACCATTAGTTTACATTTCCAAAATTTAAGCCCATACTGTAGTTAACAACTTTTTGAGTTAAGCTACAGGCTTTCTTTTTTTTGCATTCCTGGTTAATTTGCTTTTCTTTATATGATTTGTTTTTGTATTGGTTGTTACTTTTGTATCTTAGTTGTTATTGTTGTTAGACCGCACCACAAGAGTTGTGTGTGCCACCATTCTAAAGGTGAAGTGTCAATAAATAAATAAATATAACAGGAGGGTAGAAATAGTGCCGAATGATTGGAAAGGTCCACCACTGCAGTTTAAGACGCGCAGCCGAACCACCTCAGGTCGCATTGAGGACCTGGTAGGTAGGAAACTCACAATCACACGAGCATCGGTTTTGCGAAAAAAAAAACCACATTTGGTATTGAAATCTGGGAGTGTTATAGGTAGAGTAAGCGCAAATTACACCTCCAAGAAAAGAAGCGAGAAAATTAAGATGTTGAACCACACATGACAGAGTATAAAGTGATTAATATAAGTACAGCTCAGTGCAGATATTTCTTATTAAAATATAATAATAAATGTTGATGGTGAGCCAGATGTAATAACCTTGAATTAGCGTGAGGCCAAGTTCACACAGTAATATCACATGTTATAATTATTTTTGTATGCATCTATTTTTCAACAGTTTTGAACAGATGTGTATCAATTATGCAAATGAAAATCTTCAACAGTTTTTTGTTCAACACATTTTTAAGCTTGAACAGGTGAGCTATCCTTGATGGTAATTTCATATCATTTTCTTACTTCAGAATGGTCTTGGTATCCAAAAGCCCAACAAATTAACAATGCATATGTTTTCATGAAACCAAAATAAAATGGCAGCAAAGAGTCGTTCTATATTATTATTTTTTGTAAATTAAATGCAATTTGGCCATATATGGGTATTATGATGACACCGATGTATGGGCAAATCACTGTCACATACATATATCATAGCGGGGCAGAGCCTGAAACTATATGTTTATAAAAAAAAACATAAGATGGCCCGGAATAAATTAACTAGGAATTGGTTTCGAAATAAACATTTGGTATGACCCAAGTACAAATGTGTAAATAAATAGGTCAAACAATCATGACATTATAATTGTAAAACCAACGTAATTTTCCTATTCCAAACCATACACATATTTATTTTTATTAGTATCTTATCATTACCTTCTATATATTGTTATTGGTAATTGCATTTTCTTATTAAATGCAGGATGAGTATGAAAGGGAAGGTATTCAGTGGCAACACATTCAATTTGTGGACAACCAAGAAACACTGGACATGATCGCAGTCAAACCACTCAACATTCTTGCTCTGGTAGATGAAGAGAGTCGCTTTCCAAGAGTACGATGATTGTTCTTCATATTACATAATCAATTAAACAAAAAAAACAAAAACATAATAAAATATGACAATTTTTCAGAGCTATTTCAAGAAGAAAACAGAACACTTTAAAAAAAGAAAAACTTTAAATTAAAAACAAAAAAATTAAAAGAAAACCTAGCCTATAACATCCCTGTGAACATTGAACAAATATTGTTGAAATTAGTTATTCTTATGCTTGTGTTTAAATTGTAATACGTTAGACTTGAAGTGCATAATTTTGATCCCTTTGCATAAATGACATCACAATGATGAAATTTACCAATCTAAACGCTTGTAAGCTACAACTCTTGCAACTAACAAGATCATTTTGTTTAAATATATTGGCCATAAGGCGAGTTGTCACAGATCAGCTTAAAGAGGCATACAAAGCCCGCCACATCTTTGCCTGTAAAAGATGTGTAAAGAAAGTGCAACATCCCCTACAATTTCCGGTGTATAACTAGTATAAATTAATTCGGAAAAATGTATTGGCTTATTTTTTAATTCAGGGAACAGACAAGACAATGTTGCAAAAGCTGAACCAACAGCATGGTACAAACCCTCTTTATATGAAAGCCCGTTCTACTACAGGAACTCAGTTTGGAATCAAACATTTTGCAGGTCAAGTGTTTTATGAAACTATTGGTAAGCTTTCATCGTAACTGATGTTTCAAATGTAAACAACTATAGCTTTAAAATTTTACTGATGTTTCTCAATACTAAAAGTAACACTGATCGAGAAAATAGTAGGTTTAATATAAGACATGCTGTTGGTGTGTATTATGAAAATTTCTTTTATTTTTTATAAAATTTAGTGCATTCCCAACATAACGCAATTTGTTAGAAATTACTGACATTGTGCAATTTTATGCTATTACTGTCTGCACATAGACATAAATGAAATTTTCCCACTGAGGATTGTGTGGTTTTTACAACTAATTCTGGTGTACAGATAACGCAGGTTAAATATTGTAAATGAATTTTTTTCTTGTCTAGGATTCCTTGACAAGAATAGGGACACTTTTAGCCCGGACTTCTTGGAACTGATCCAGAAGGGTGGAAACAGCTTTCTGAAGATGCTGTTCAAAGCGGACTTAGACATCAACCGCAACCAACGAAAGTCGGCACTAGGGGCAAAGTCTACATTAGGAGCACAGTTTAAGAAGTCACTTGACTCGCTGATGAAGACACTAAATTCTTGCCAACCATTCTTTGTGCGCTGTATCAAGCCAAATGAGTTTAAAAAGCCAAGCGTAAGTTTAATAACTTAAGTCCTTTATAGGACGCAGGACTTGCAACCTAGTAAACTCATTTAACGTCACATCATCACTCAGAAGGTTATTGTAATACGCTGATATGTCTGTAATATTATCTTAAGAAAATGACCACAAATAATGTTAGACTTATTTAAATGTAAAATATTATTTAGCAGCTAATATGTTCAGGTTAATACAATTAATAAAGCACATGTAAAACATTAAAAAAAAAATATTTCATGCTCTAGACTTAAGTCTAATTATATTCATATACTTTTGTTTCTAGACTTTTGAACGCGATCTTGTCGTTAGGCAGCTTCGTTACTCTGGAATGATGGAAACTATTAGGTAAGTGTTCTCTTTATAGATTTTTTGTAAACAGCTAATGAAGCCCACTATAATGCGCAAGCGTGTGGCACACAATACTGCCTTTGGTTTTTGATCAATTGGTTGTGGGTTCGAGGACGATCGTAGTCAAATTGCTTTTATCCTTTAGGAAAGGCACTTTACCTACGCTTGCCTTGTGAGTGTGCACGTTGTGCATGATTTATTCTGCTTTTAATGACCAGGCAAAAAAGCGCTTCATATACGGTAGGAGTGGTGCTATATATTAAATTGAAAGATAAAAAATGAAATTATTGTTGGGTTTTTAATAAGTGTACACTTGATCTTTTTCTTTTGTTTATAATTAGCATTCGTCGAGCTGGATATCCCATTCGCCACACGTTTTATGAGTTTGTTGGTCGGTACAGGATATTAGGAACTGGAATAAAACCAGCAAACAAAGAGAATTGTAAGGCAGCCAGTAAGAAAATCTGCAACGATATGTTAGGAGCACAGGACTGGCAGTTAGGGCATCAAAAAGTATTTTTAAAGGTACATTTGGTTTCAGTGACTTTTAATCTGATTTCCGCTACCTCTGATATTTTATTTTTATGCAAAATGGGCGGCCAGTCAGTTGATTAAATACCTTATAGGTAGTGTCAGCCCACGAATTTCACGTCGGCAATCGGCAATCACCGACCATATTGCCGAGCCAGAATTTCTACAGGATGGCAAATTTTTGCCGGCCTCGGCCTAGATTTTTTTGCTTCAAAAACTGCTTGGAAAGTCAAAAACTTTGACTGAAACAGGCTATAGCAGACACTAAATTTCATTACAAACTAAGGAAAATGGTTAACTTGAGGTTAGGGTTTTAATCCTTCGCTGTGCATTTCGCGTGTGTTCTTGAACAAGGCACTTTATGTGCATTGCTTCAGTCTACCCATTTGCATCAATGGTACCAGCAAATTGCTAGGAGTAACCTTCGGTGGACCAGCGTCCCACCTAGGAGTATTATGCTTAAATCTGCTTCACGCTACAGAAACTGGAGATAAGCTCCAGCCCTATGGGCCCTAGTGGTTCGGCAAGGATTTACTTTTTCTCCGTAACTGACAGAATACGTAACGTTACAACAGAATTTTCTTCATACTGTTCTGTCTTGGACCATATTATTTATCTGTTCTCAATTATTAATCCCTGTCCAAATCTTATGTCATGAATCTGACGTCGAATCGGTCGACACTTTGTGTTATTTTCTAAGGTAATATACAAAACAGACTTGAAGTCTCATTTTTTATGTCACCTACATGTTTTTGGTTCATTATTACATTGTATTTAGATATTAATAATTTGAGATTTATGTATAATATTAAAGGATAAACGTACTATGAATACTGTCTAATTTCTCATGTTCTAAAATTGTTCACGAACGATGCTACTACTACCACAGGATGCTCACGATTTGCTGTTGGAGCAGGCAAGAGACCGGGCCCAAGCTGAGAAGTGTATCATCATTCAAAGGGTAGTGCGTGGATGGTACTACCGCAAACGCTATATTGCTATGAGGAAGAGTGCGATTTACATCCAAAGTTGTTGGAGGAAATATGCACAACGTGTGAGATTTACGAAGGTAAGTTTACAAGTAGCACCAGTAACAGCAGCAGAAGTAACAGCAACAGAATAATAGTTAAAAAAATAATGATATGGCACTTTCAGAATGCCTTTATTACAGATAAACGCAAAACACCAAAAAAAAGCATTGATGCTGCTGCGGCTGTTCCCCGCCACTGTTGTTGCTGCTACTTCCGACGATACTGTTGCCCCCACTAATGCTCCATGCCACAGCCGTCTACACCGCCATCACTACAGGGGTGGGGTTATTGTAGTGATGCTAGATGGATTACATAATGTACTGAAGTGGGTAGTTGCGGTGTGGTCATTTTCCAGTTATGATTCTAGTCTACTGAATAAAAAAATCATACCTAACAAAACTGTTTTTAATTTGTTGTATTAGATGAGAAAAGGTTTCCTCAGGCTGCAGGCTTACTTTAGAACCAGAACACTTTCCTACAAGTTCCACTTTCTACGCTACAGAATTGGACTTTTCCAGGTGAGCTGATGCTTATTGATGTTCCTCAGTGACGTTTTGCCATTAGGCATAGTTTCAGGGATTTTTGGGGGCACAGTGGTTTATACATTTACTGTGAAGCGTTCACATGCTAGCTTTCCCCATCTTTATGTAAACTTATAATTACATTAGTAAACTTTTTTGAAAGTAGTACAGGTTATATGTTCATGAAACAGGGTACGATGGTTTGTACATAGCGCTGTATAAATAAGAAGTCAGAAAGTATAATGTAAACATGAGATATGAGAATAATTTGGGACACTCTTTACTGAGCACCATCAATTTTAATAGAAATATTTATGTTTGATATTATAGTTTCTATTTGTAATTTTTCACAGGCTTACTGTCGTGGTTACATAGTACGTAGAGAACACCGCAAATATATTGGTAGCATTGTCAAGATTCAATCTGTTTTCAGAATGTTGCTGGCAAGGAATAGGTATCTGAAAATAAGAAATGAGGTTAGTAATATGCCTATATAATTAATGTAATTAGTAGAAACCTCTATGTCTAATTACTGCATCGACAGCCCATCATATTAACAGCCTGTTATGTTTTGACCAGTAATGTGAACCACAACTACAAAAATTGTACTACTCTGCAAATAAAACACATTATAAAATTTGTGAACTGTTTAAATCTTGTGGTTAGGTTATGTAAAAAACATTAATACCACAACACTGTTGCAACTTTTTAAACTTCATTTAGTCAGAAATTAGGTAATGAAAATGTATACTGGTTTATGGTTCTACAAAGAAACGTTCTGATAACTTAACTGCAATGTTATTTACACCGTAAAATTGTTAGCTAGGATATTAGGTTTATTTAACAATCAGAATCTTTAATAAGCCAATGCCAGTTTTTTTCTTATGTAGGCAGTGTATAGGAATACAGATGACTTGATAATTTTTAAAAAGTTTAGCAAAAACATAAAAAGCAGCCACTCGACTTCATTTAAGCATTATGTGAAAGGCCATGCTCAAGATAGGCATTGCGTTCTTTCTGGTTCTATGTGCTTCATCTCCCTCTTCATTTTTTAAAACCACAATTCTTTTGTTTCCTCTCCTTATGGCGTTGCAAATATATTTGCTCTACATTTTAGCTCAGTTTTTTTGACAGGAATTCAATATTTATTTGTTTCCTCAGCATCATAATGGCCATGTTATGGGCAATGTTGAGGTTAATGTTAAGCAGATATTTAGCATCCTCTGAGTCTCTGAATGCAAATTTTGCAATGGGACTGACTGTATTAGTCAAAGAGTTCTTAAGCAGGGTTATAGTGTTTTCCACTTTAGGCTTTGTAATAATTGTTTACGTGTCTTAGAGAAAGTAACATCCACTCTCTTTGGAAGAGTGCAAACATTGTGCTAGTATAAAAAGGGGATAACAACTGAAGGATAATATTTGTAGTTACCGTCTTGTATCTCTGTCTTTTGTCCTCAATAAAGTCTTTGAAAGAGTCTTGCTTGGTAGCCTTTTAAATTATCTTGATGACTGTACTATTATCTCAATCACACAGTAATGTTTTCGGAAGGGATGCAATACGGAATTGCTTTTAGCAAGTCTGTATCGTACTGATAGCTAGTGTATTATGTATTGGCATATTTTAATTATTAGTACCGTATGTGTGGGTTCTCTAATATAGAATCTATAGGATCAGTCATGCTGAGTAAGCCATCATTTGTATAATGACCTATAGAGTTAATTACAAATTTTTGCTAATTTTTATATTAAAAATTATATTATGTTATTATTTTTATAAAATATCATCTATACTATACAATATAATTATAGCAACGTAGAAGAAAAAAAGCAGAAAAATATAGAAAGGAGATAGAATTACAGTTGAAAAAAGAAATGGGACAAAAAAAGGCAAAAGAAGAAGCCCAAAGACTGATGCAGGTAAAGTAGTTTCATGAAACCCAACTCAGGTATTAACTGATTTTTAAAATTTTCATTAATTTACTTAATATATTTTAGAAAATAAAGTTTAAAGTTCACTTAATGAAATCTATATTTTTTTCCAACCACACATTTCTGTATTTTTCGAATGCAATGTTAGCGAGTGTTATTCGTTTATCTGTGTCTGTATCAGTGTCAATAAATGAACCAAGGAGTTTATGATTTTCCAGTTTTCAACGTTATCCTCACTTTTATGTGGAAACGTAATGCTGTGATATATCATTGCAGTCAGAAATAGAACCAGTGCTTTCGGACAACACAAGTCTTTCTTCGATTGCGAGAAATAAACATAGTTAATTAATATAATATCTGAGTAAGCTAAGATCAGATATAAGATAAACGTTAATTCACCACATTTTTACAAAGCAATTGTACAATCATAGTTTTTTTACAAAAACTTATTAACTTGATACTTTTTAACAGGAAAAACTTAAGGAACTGGAGGAAATCGATGCTGATGCTGAATTACAAAGAAAACGAGAACTACTTGATAATATGGAAGAGATTAAAAGAGCAGAGAAGATAAGAATTGAACTACCAGTAGAAGTTGAGGTAGAGTTCAATAATTCTCGTATTACGCGTCTGTTTAGTAGAAGGCGAAGTTGTCAAACGAGTTTGAATATAAGGATATATGAAAACATGATACTATTTCTAAAACAATAGGTGCTGTACTCAACAATTTTCTTTTTGTCAAAGGAGTTTGGAAACTTTTAATATCGAAGAGGCACTTATAACAATAATAATAATAGTAATAATAATAATAATAATAATAATAATAATAATATGTCATTCTTATATAGCGCTTATCATAGTAACCAATGTATAACGACTGCAATACCAGGATTTGACTATAATAGACATTCAAAAACTGTGCTTCCAGTGTCTTTTTAGGTCAATAGAAAAATGAAATACATTTTATTGAAAAGTTTTACCAATAATTTGAAATTATTATTTGTTTGCTTGCAACCAGGCCTACGCGAAGGTTGATAATCTGTTTTACCTCACAGAACGGGTTTTTAGGCTTTTAGTACTGGTATATTAGGGAGGTTTTTTGAAGTGATTTTATTAGCTTTTAGACAAGAATGTAGGCCTCATTGATAACTCATATCTCTTTTAATCTCATTTTACAAGCCTACTATTTAACAGACTTTCCATCAGCTGCAAATAGCTCTTTTATTTTCTCAGAAAAATGTATGATGTGCGGAGTGATATTTGACGGATTTAGTTTGGAAGTGTTTAACAAAGCAGCGTTTAAAGAGTTGCATAGAAAGCATCTTTTTTTGATGGTGTATCTAAGATTTAGTGTAACTCTAACTAGCTATAATTTGTAATCCAGTGACCAAAACGATGTGTTGCTGAAGAATTAAGTGGAAGTGAGACAATTGTGATTGATTATGGTTTGGAGCTAAAAGGGGTAATATTATGATTGATGAACTTCAAATCTTAATAGTGTTACAATTGAACTATTGTTTCTCTTGAGGATATTCATATAATCTTTTAACATTAAATTAAAAGTAATAATAAATCTGCAGGTCCAGTTCAACAAAAACAAATTTTCTTCTTTCATGGAAGGAAGCATTTAAAAGTGGTCCAACAACCTCAAACCAAGAACAGACAGACTCCAAAGAAGACCTTTCAAACTACACATTTGCCAAGTTTGCTACCACCTACTTTCAAGGTGGGGCCACAGCAACATATGTCAGAAAGAAGTTAACTGATTCACTACTTGATCTGAAAAATAAAGGTGATCGAAATGTATGTATTATAAAAAACATCTTTATCTCTTAAATTATTTTTGCGACACTTGACTTGAAATGTCGAATCATACATTTAGAATTAAAGCAGGTCTGTTATCTGCTTACACAGTAACTTGTACTGCATAATTGATTATGTATAGCTTTATACAATGTCTGGTGTGCAATATTGTACATGTTAAATAACGCATCAAGGGTAAAGGATTGTTTGCGGGCGTACATAGACAGAAGAGGTGGCACCAGAAATTTGCCGACAATGGGACGCCGTGTCCAACGGTGGGGTCCGAACCAAGACGACGACGAAGCCTTGGTCGACGGCCCGGAATCCATAAATCCCTGTTAGGGTTCATGGGGAGAGTTTTATGGCTTAATTTGGTTCTACATGTGCTTTTAGACCAAAATATTAGCGTTTGGCAAACAAATATTATGGACGACAGGGGGTCCAGGCCGGTATGACGGGGGAATTTCCCTCTCTTACCCCTGCTGCAGAGATTCCAATCGAATACATATATTTGATAATATAGGCATTACATTTATGCCTGAGATTTTGGTCCGCGTGGGAGCATGAGACAAACCCCAAATGCGTGAGCCTTAAGCTGAATGAGTGAGACTTGGCAGGTATGCAGCTGGCGCCCCACTGTGTTTGGTTTTAATGATATCCAAGCCCAATGAGCTTAATCTTTAGAAGTCCATCTTTTATATAACTTTATATATATATATTATATATTATATATAATATTTTTATACATATATACAATATTGTTAGTCACCCAAGGATCACCGTTTTTTGTTTTTATGCTTTTAAAAACAGTTAGAAAAAATGTATTCTTTACTAAGTATTAGTTATCTTAATTGGTTTATGTTCGAACTCCTATGCTATTTATGGATTTATGTTAATATAAATCTAGGATGGAAAATCAGTTATGTCCAAGATTTACAGCACATTAGGCAGAACTAGAGGTCAAAAGGAACTTCCACAAATGCCTGATGATGCGAATGTAAGTAATAATCCTGTTGTACAATACTTGGAAATTAGGAAAAACAATGGGCAGGAATGTTGAATGGTGTTGCACCTTGGGTTTTCCATAATGCTCATTACCATCCTGAGCATTATGTATTAATCTGTAATTTCCAGGATATTGTATAAAAAATTGATTATAGAACAAATCACAAGCTTTATATGGTACTAGTTAATGAAATTACAAATTTATATTAGCCTGGTTCTCACTAGAGCTCTAGTATCCGGATCGGGAGCTAACCATTAGCACCTGCATGAGAACGCCCGATCGGTTAGCGCTAACCGTTAGCAGTATCCGGATACCGCTAACGGTTAGCAAGCGCTATCGGTTAGCAAGTTGAGGGCGTTTCTATCATCAACCAATCACATGCACACGTTTACAATTTCCAGTTTTTTATTGGCCAGTGAATCGATCATCATATTGTTGGTATTCGGATCGGGATTTTCTCGCATGGACGCACGTCAACTAAAAAGTTAGCAGATCCGGATCCAGCTAATCGTTAGCTGCCGTGTGAGAATGTAGCCATTATGTACATTGATATGTTAGTTAATATATACTATGTAATATGAACAGTGTTAATTGATAGGTAAACTAGAAAATGCATTTTGAATAATTTTTGAACAGTATTTGGCCAATACTGTATATTTACTTTAATTTATTGTCATTTAGCCAAAAAGAACATGACTTCCCTGCATCCGCCGCCTTGTTGCTTAGCTCATTACTAACATTTTTCAAATTTTTTTCTCCATCCTTGACAATTTTACCATCATCAGTGATTTTATGGCTTGTTTTAAATATAACGCTGAAGAGCATCATTCAGGATTAGGCTGTTACCTTTGGGTTTATCAAAAGTTTCAAATAATTTAACATCTGCTGGTCTGTTAGTAGGTAAATTAGTTCAGTATATTAAGATTTGTGACTCTGTAATCGTAGTATTAAAATTTCAACTAGTAAATGATAATTTTGATTTCACTGTTAGATGACTTAGTTGCATCAATTTCCGCCTGTCATATGAGTATTCAAGATATATATTAAAGGTGATATTAAAATAAATGTACAGATTTAACAAATACATGGATAGAAACCAATATTAAATCATATACTGTATATATTAAACTGTCAATAAATTATTGAAAGAATTATATATAAATTACATTTGTTTCGCAGCTTTAACTTGTCTCAATTGTTTGTAGTATTTATTTATTTATATTCTGTAGCCCTTGTCGGGATCGCAAAAGAAGAGCACAATCCGCAAAAAACTTATATCCTTGACAATTAAAAGGAAGTCAGTTCCCCGGGATGTTGCAGAAAGGATCCGAGATGGAGAAGAGATAGACATCAATCACAGCATGATCATCGACCGACCGACATCCAATCTGGAAAAACTTCACTTTATCATTGGACATGGAATCCTGAGACCAAATCTCAGGTGAAAGGATAAAATCGACAGTTATTAATTGTGAAATTTATTTAGAAGATCAAATTTAGATACTGATATATTTTTCCTGATTAACACATTTATTTCACATATTTATCAAAACAATATTTATTACATTATTTTACAGAGATGAAATATACTGTATGATCTGCAAACAACTCAGTGGCAACAATGCTAAAGGAAGTCATGCGAGAGGTTGGATTTTGCTGTCACTCTGTGTTGGATGTTTCGCTCCAACAGATCGGGTAAGGCAACCATCAAGGCAACAGTTTAATGGTAGTAGTGATGGTTGGGGACTTGTATAGCGCATAATACATGGTCTCTACCAAGGAACTCAGAAGTCAGTATAACGCTACATAGACTGGAATTGCTAAGCTTTCAATATAAGGATGAGCTAAGCCAGGCTGACCTTAATGTAACATATGCTAACATTTGCGTTGGTGATGTAGTGAGCATGAATTCTACTATTGCAGGGAAACCATCACCATTTACTGTTGCTGTTGTTATTTATATTCTGTTTTCAGTATAGACATGTTTAATTTCACAGTAATATTATATTACTAGACATTAATATTGGATATGAAGTCTGTTGAATTTGTTATGTGTCAGTACAACCTAGTGTTGAACATAATGATAAACATATAGGAAATAAAATTTATTTTTTAATCATTTAGACAAATAATTAAATTATACTTGTTTTCCTAGGTGGATAGCATGGGCTTCATCTAGAAGAAGCATGTGACGATTTTGCTGTTTACCAAATTATGGAATTTGTAGATTTATCAGTTAATTTTCAAAATATTCTATTTATTTGAAACTGGACCTCTTTTGTGAGCAATACTAAGGTACCAAATGTCATATCCAGTATAAAAAAAAATGTATGCACGTTGTGTGATGTTAAATTATTTTTCTTTGGTAGTTTGTGAAGTATCTGCGATGTTTTATTAGTGAAGGCCCTCCAGGGTATGCACCGTACTGTGAGGAGCGCTTACAGAGAACATTTGAAAATGGTACTAGAAACCAACCTCCAAGCTGGTTAGAGCTACAGGTGGGTAACGAAGAGCCAGTATCCGTTAATAATTTCACTAATGTTAGAATGAGTTGTTATATTTGTTTATAATAGTCATTTGAATATTGCTGAATAGAGGTAATTTTTAAGAAACTAATACTTCATTGAATAATTTATGCCTACGAGTGTTCTAATTTTCTTTTTAGGCTACTAAATCGAAGAAACCCATCATGTTACCCATAACCTATATGGATGGAACAACAAAAACCCTGCTAGCAGACTCGGCAGCAACAGCACGTGAACTTTGTCAGATGTTAGCGGAGAAGGTTGGCCTTAAAGACCAATTTGGGTTCTCCATCTACATTGCTATCTTTGATAAGGTGCTTATATATTATTGTATTTTGCAAGTGGTATGCTTATGTTTATATAAGTTTTTCTTTGGCCATGTTACTGTATGTTACTGACATGCAATGCTTTTCTGAAAGATCAATTACGACTAGAAATTGGCGGGTAAATATTTTTTCCATTTCTATCTTTCTGTCTTTTTCTTTCTGTTTAAAAGGTCAGGAACTGAAGCAGCAATTATTATTATTATTATTATTGTTACCTGTAACATAATAATAATAACATAACAATGAGCAAATATAACAATTTAATTAATATGAAAGTTCCACATTTATCAGTAACATACAAATAAAATAAAATAAAAAAATTCTAGTATCTGTTGGTATCTTCTGCTTGTTTGTAGGTCTACACATGTCTAAAAGACTATTGGTTTAATGCAAAGATATATATGGTACATTTAATTAGACAATTGGTAATGATCAATAAAATATTTTACAAATTTGTATTGCTTATTATTCTCAATCTGTCATTTATGTGAATCATACTCATTCTATCTTTTTCACTTTACCAACTTACAAAATTATATTTTTGTACTTTAAAATTTTGTTGCAAAATTAGATGTACAGTATTAGTTTTGCTTTTTGTTTACCTTCGGTTAATTTAACTATGTATCCCATTCATAGACTATAACACCACCTTAAATTGATATAACTTTGTATTTACCTACATAGTTACTGATTTTACATTTTCATAATGTACTGTATCTTATAGGTTACTTCTTTAGGTAGTGGTGGGGATCATGTTATGGATGCTATCTCCCAGTGTGAACAGTATGCAAAGGAACAGGGCGCCCAAGAACGTAATGCACCATGGCGCCTGTTCTTCCGTAAGGAGATCTTTGCCCCATGGCACGATGCACGTGAAGATCCTGTTGGCACAAACCTTATCTACCACCAAGTTGTGAGAGGAATCAAGTTTGGTGAATACAAATGTGATCAGGTATCTAATCATTCAAGTTTATGCCACAATATTTATAAATGTACGTTGTTTGAATCCTACCAGAAAACCCTCTTTTTATACAATTGAAAAAAGAACTTGAAGGGCTATTCTTGATACTATTATCACATCACATCTATTATGACGAAATAGTTACCGGAGATGAAGTGGGGGGGGGGGAGGTAGTGTGACGTCCCTACCACTACAGAACAGGGGCAGATGCATGTATTTCAGGCTGACGTGAAGGAGTTCCCTTGGTTTATATCTTTTAGCTAAATGATTCATGGCACACTCGTGGGTACTGATTTATTTGACTGCTGTATAGTTTTTCCACTAAATTTCGCTGTTTTCGCTATTCTGTAGAAACAGGAAGAGATTAAAAACATACCTTTGAATTTTTTTTTTAGACTAATACTTTAATACCCCTCTGCTATGCCCCTGTCTCTTATACACATCTAGATGTGTATAAGAGACAGGTATAGACATGTTTAATTTCACAGTAATATTATATTACTAGACATTAATATTGGATATGAAGTCTGTTGAATTTGTTATGTGTCAGTACAACCTAGTGTTGAACATAATCCCCGGATTTGCTCCACAGAAGTCAATGTCTGACTGGAGGGGAATGTCATGACAGAGGGCTGATGTCCCCTGCAAAAGAGATGATGTCATCAAACAAGAGGGCAAATGTTGCTGATAAGTGCGTGTGGTCAGGAAGTTGCACAGAAAAAATAGGGATGCTTATCCTTTTAGAGTGCACAAATGTGTGAAAAATACATAAACATTGTTTACTCTCCCTGACGAAATGTGTTTGCTTCGCCCTCACTGGAAGGGTTGTAGTTCACTATTTTCTCCCCAGCCACCACTGGTGCAACCTCTCCCCGGCCACCACTGGTGCAACCTCTCCCCGGCCACAACTAGTGCAACCTCTCCCCGGCCACCACTGGTGCAACCTAAATCTAGAAACAAATTTTCGATAAAAATCCTTAATGAATCAGCTTGATTTTTCAGAACGGGTGAACTTCCCGGTCAGAGTTTCACTCTGGTGACAGTCAGTGGGGATGAATTTACATTCACTTCATCAAATGCTGAAGACATCCGGGAACATATTGGGACATTCCATGAGGGATTGAAGAAAAAGTCTCGTTTTGTTGTCTCTTTGCGGGACAACCCTAATCAAGGTTGGTCTATTCTTGATTTATTTATATAGTAGGCAGTTTTTGTTGTATATAATTCATTTTTTAAAGCAATTCTATGTGTTTTTCTCATTTAAATTGGAAATAGGAAACTTGGGCTGGGACCCAGTGGACCCACAGCAGCCGACTTAACTGCAACAGGGGTGGCGCTAGGATTTGCCTGAAGGGGTCCGATGTCCTTGATGACTGGCTGGGTGTCGCTTAAAATCTCCCTGAAATGGTCCATGTTGTGAATACTAACGTACAATGCTTGTGCAAATTGTTGTTAATGACTGATGCAGTGAAAGAAATTAAAAGAAAATTATAAAAAATATCTCTTGATAAAAAAATCTAGTGATAAATGACACTACTATATATACATTGAGGAACAATCGTCATCTAGTAAATGGTAGATGGCGGGATAACAATTAGAAAATAAAATGTGTATGTTTGTTTTTCTTTATAGGAGAGGGTTCATCTCTTCTGAGTTTCCAGAAGGGAGACTTAATAATACTAGAACATGAGTATAATGAATCCATAATGGACGGTAGGTGGTGCTACGGCGTGAATGATAGGACAGGCTTGAAAGGAGACTTTTCTGCTGACTGTGTATATGTTCTTCCAGCCCTGACGAAACCATCACCTGAAATAGTGGTAATTTCATTTTTTATGCTGTATATTTTTTCTCGAAAATTATGCATTATTTTGTTGTAATAGTAATATTTGTAGTTAACTGAAGCTTGTAAGTGTGTAAATGTATTTACAATGAGTTTTAACGAATAATATTCATATTTCTGTTTCAGTCTTTTTTCACGATGGACAGAAGTGAATTATCTCAGAAATTTATGTCGGCATCAGAGAATGCTATTGGCAGTCATGACACTTTAGAGAAGCCCCATACTTTAGAAGAATTTGCTATTGAACATTTTAGGTGGGCTTAAACACTTGTTGCTATCCCATTTGCTCTCTTCTTGGCAATCTCAGTACCTCTGAACGCCTCTGTTTATTTTTATATTTGCCTCTTTTCTGATCTACAGTAATCAATTAATCAATCAATCAAAAAAGTTATTTATTTTCCTTGTTACTCACTTCCCATGATGAGTAATAAAGATGTTTTGACATCTGTCAGGTCACCTCAGAAACAAACATTGAGCAAAGCTGTCAAGTCTTTAAGAGGGCGCCCTCAAGATGAGCTTTGGAGTCACAGCAGAGAACCAATCAGACAACCCCTTCTAAAAAAGCTGATTGGTAATGATGAACTAGCAAGACAGTCTACAGAAGCTTTCCTTGATATCCTTTCTTTATCATCTAACATTTTATGTTCATGTGGCTGTTTTACCTTTATCCATGTATTAATTGTATAACTCTGGTATCTGTGCACCTGATTATTAAGTAATTAAAAATAATATGTGTATATGCTCTCAGTTCTAATCAAGAGCGGTGTTGTTGGGCTTTTATTAAATAATTATGCCTCAAGTGACCAGATTGAAAGTGATTTTCATTTTAAATATAAACACAATAAACATACCCAAGAAATTATATAGTTTATCCTTGACTTTGGTTTACCTATCATGAAGTATATGGGAGACTATCCTACAAGGAAGGATTATAGACATGGCAATGAACTCACAGATCAAATCTTCGAGGGCGCCTTGAAGAACGAGCCTTTACGTGATGAGATCTTTTGTCAAATTGTAAAGCAGCTGACCAGTAACAAAATAAAGTGAGTTGATTACAGCTTTGTCATTTTGATTAAGGTATTTGCAATTTTATTTTAACTTTAGATTTCTTGTTTAATTTATAACACTGGGTAAATATTGAACAATTATCTGCAATTTATAGATTCAGTGAAGAACGGGGCTGGGAACTAATGTGGCTGATGACTGGAATATTTGCCTATTTATACTACATCAAAACAGAGGGACGGGAAAATGGCACTTTACTGAAGAATGACCCTTATCTGCAATTTATAGATTCAGTGAAGAGCGGGGCTGGGAACTAATGTGGCTGATGACTGGAATATTTGCCTGTAGTAAGGCGCTGCATCCACATGTCACTAAATTCCTGCGTTCAAAGCGCCATCAGTTGGCTATGGACTGTATACACCGGCTGCAAAAGACCATCCAATACGGACAACGTAAAAATCCACCACATTTGGTTGAGGTAGAAGCAATAATTCACAAGACCACACAAATATTTCACAAAGTTTATTTTCCAGATGACACAGATGAGGTCAGTGTGAATGGTCATTTCTATGCAAACATTATGAAAATATATATGAAATATATATATTTTTGTGCTTTAGTATGAATTGTGCTTTGTAATGGATACATTTTTCTTTATAGCTTAGTTGGTAAAGTAATTAAACTATAATTGAAGGGTCTCAAATAAGTAAGGAACTGTTTTCTAGCAGAGGTTGCACCAGAATTTTCCCGACATGGGGTGCAATATCTCTGACAGGATCAAGCCCGATTTTTCTGACAGGAACACCCACCCCCGGATTCTCCGACAATATTCGGTGGAAATTACTCTCCCCAACGAATAGTGTTTGTTATTTCTCCCTGAAAGGGGGAAGCACTTCTCGGCGTTAGGCCCTTCCTTGACCATACAGATTCACCCTATTTGGGTCCTGACATCTAAGCCCAACTAGTGCCCCCACTGTTTTCTATGTGTACTTTTTCTTTCGGGTATATATTCTATCAATTAAATGATGCCATTAAACTGAATATTAGTACACTATGCTGAATTTCGGCCAAAGTTGTAAAAACAACTTTAAACCATATAATTAAAATTTAAAAACCATGAAAGTTAATTGTTATTGAAAGATTAATTTAAAAAATGTACACATTTGCACTTAACCTATTAAACACAAATAAAATCAAATACTGTATTACTTTAAGTTTAATGCTGAAGCATTTTACTTGTCTAGGCATTTGAGGTTGAATCTGGTACAAGAGCAAAAGATTTCACTCAGAATATATCTAAACGTCTGCATTTGAGGTCTGCAGAAGGTTTCAGCCTATTTGTCAAGATTGCAGACAAAGGTAAGATAACTGATTATTACGCCTGTCTCAGCAAACACAAAAAGTAATTAAAAACAAATCTCGGCCAGTATAGTTATGTTTTTAGGATCAGTGGTGCCTTTTACTTAAGTATCTAGCTAAGTCACCTTTCCTGTCATGAAAAATATATGGGCAATTCATACAAACATAACCTATTTTAAATGCTGTCTTTATTATTTCTCGTTCCAGTTATTAGTGTACCAGAATGTGACTTTTTCTTTGATTTTGTGCGACATTTGACTGATTTAATCAGAAAGGCTAGACCCAGTAGAGATGGTGAGTATAGAATAGAATTATTGTCTGACTTTTTAAGACCTTTACAATATTTGAATACGACATAGCCAATTCATAAAAATACAGCCAAGGTACTGACTTTAAAGTTTGTAATGTTTAAAGCAACTAATTCTTAACTAAAGTACTTGATTTTAGTTACCGTACTTCTGTGTCTTGTCCTGGAAAACAATCAGTTTAAAGTTATTCAGAAATATAAAGGTTGTAACCTTCTACAATCAACCGGTATTTTTGGATAGTCAACTTCCTAATTGCTCAAACGTACCCTGCATATAGTTTGATAAACTTATGGGATCTCGTATTGATCGCATTCAGGAACAATGCCGACTTACAAAGTATTCTTTATGAAGAAACTCTGGACCAACACTGTACCTGGTAACGATCCAAATGCAGACTGTATCTTCCACTATCACCAGGAGTTACCAAAACTTCTCCGCGGCTACCACAAGTGCAGCAAGGATGAGGGAGCACAGCTAGCTGCACTTCAGTACCGTGTCCGGTTTGGCGATGACAAGTCGGAGTTCCAGAATATCCCAAGATTTATAAAAGACTTCCTGCCAGCAGATCTTATAAGACAACAGTCAACCGAATTTTGGAAGAGAGTGAGTTACAGTAATGGTTACACACCACTGAATTAACTGTTTATTTTTCCATCACACACTTAATGGAATTAAGGTAGACTCCCTTTTTGCTTTGGGGAAGACTTACTTAAATTTAAAAGCAGACCTCTTTTCGTCTCGGAGAATACTAATAGTTTGTGTTAGAAACAGGCCAATTCAATAATACTCCAACCTTTGATGGGGTCATCCATTATTTCACTAGAGTACAAAACATGCTCTTATTCCCACCACCACACTAGTACAGAATTAAAATGATTATATTTGTAATTTTTTTAATCATCATTGTACCTTTTTACATAAAAGAGAACATACTATGTTCATATTATTGACTACACTATCAACCCCCTCCCTTTATTCGTATGTTTTTACTCTTGTAAATAGTGATGGGTCCTTATGTTATCAAGCTTTTATAAGCTACATTTTATAAGCTACATTCAATAGATCTTTCTGGAGTGTCAATCAAACTTAACAACTGTCCAATCAGAAAAGGATCCTGAATACTCGCTTAATAAACCAGCACATACAGTGTCCAACAAAAGCATGGGTTTTCTATGTTTTTACACTGTCTTTTTATGGACCTTAGCAGCAATAACCAAGGGAGCAGCTGGCTTAATAGCAGAATGTTCCATTTAATTGGAATGATTATAAGAATAATTTTACTTCCACACATTCCAGAATGTTAGTTGTGGATTGGCACATGTATACACAAAAATAAAAATCTATTCACAAACGTATTATCGACATTAAAAAAGAAATAAAATCAGTTTTACAATTCTAGAGTAAAACATATAATAAAACAGTACATAAATACACACACCTTTAAAGTATCATTGTTTCATAAACAAAGATTCTCTTTATATATTTGCTTATTCACTTTTAGTATGTTTATTTTGTTCACCCATATTTGTAAAAAATGTATCACTAGGCAGAAATTATATATATATTATATATATATATATATACAGTATATATATACAAATAGATAAATAATAAAAGTGCTCAAATGATGTTACAATCGTATCATATAGTGAATGATAAGTTTTGATATAGAATTATCTACATATCTACTAACGTGGCCATACTTTTTATTCATCATATTTCTAGATGAAATTCTTTGAGGATAAGTTTTAATTTTTTTTTTCTTATATTTACAATTCAATAAGTATTTATAAAACATATTCAATGAAATATTCCTGTTTTTAATAAAGAATAAATTTAAATTATTTATAATTATTTATCATTAATTTTTAATAGATGATTGTTGTAGCCTACAACAAACATTCGGAAAAATCAAGAAATGAAGCAAAAGTGGCATTTCTTAAAATTATCTACCGTTGGCCGACATTTGGTTCAGCATTTTTTGAAGTCAGGGTAAGAAATCAGAATTATTATTAAAATTTTTGCGGTACAATGGCATTAAATATGAAAAAAAAATCAGGTGAAAATGATAAGGATAACACATAACAGTCATTTTAAATTAAGAAGGCTAAAGAAAAAAAAAAGTATTTTAATGTAAATTTATATCTTGTGAAAATATATTATGTTTAGGTATTTTAATTTCGATGTGAGTTTGTGTCAGGAAAATATCATAGGAGTGATGATTTGCCCTACCTGACGTGTTATTGTACAGAATACTTAGTAAAAAGTGATGCCAGGTTAGTTATCTGGAGGTCGTGTGTACATTTCCAAGTATTTGGGAACGTACTGAGGTTTCGGTACGATAACACGTCAGGTAGGAAAAACATCACTCCTAATAGGTATTTTTAGTTCATAAAATTTACATTAATTTAGAGTAAAATATAAATTTATTTGTTATTAATAAGATATTTTATTTTGTTTTCTTAACAGCAAACAACAGAACCAACTTATCCAGAGGTATTACTGATAGGTATTAACAAACTAGGGGTTAACTTAATTGACCCCAAGTCAAAGGTATGTTAATAAATTCACATCACTTTCCATTTTATTTTACTTTATTTAACAAAAAATGAAAATTTTAATGAAATTTACAGGTGATAAATTTATAAATGGAATACACAAGGATTTTATTTAGTAATTGACAATCATTGTAGTCTTTAAATTTTGGTGTTGTATATATATTGCACATTTATAAATACAATATCAATATTTATAAATATCTCCAGTAAAACTTACTGAAACTTAGATGAATATAAAAATTCAAAAACAATTATGTAACAAAAACTAGGCCTATGCGTGTATCAATAAATTGTTAGTGGTCTTTATTTATATTAATATTTGTTTTTATTTTATTTTTTCCTTCTTGAATCCTACAGGAAATCCTTGCTACTTATCCATTCACTAAGATATCCAATTGGAGCAGTGGAAACACCTACTTCCACATGACAATCGGCAACCTTGTGCGCGGGACCAAACTTCTATGTGAAACACCACTTGTAAGTAATTATTTTTATAAAATCATCCATTATGCTATTAGAGGTTATTAATTGATGGATCTTAAGATATTGTGAGGCATAGTAAAAATATCATGTGATGAAAGAAAAAATATAATCAAATGATAAGATGATAAAAAAATGAAATATCGGTAAGCACAATAACCAAGCAATGAGTCAAGGGTGGCCTACTTCAAGACATAGAAAAAGATCTGTGAACATAACACCACAATTTAATCTAACCCTGCTACTTCTCATACTAAGCACCATAACATAAAATGTATCCAAACTTAATTAATTCTTGGTACTAGGTGTCCATCCTTAGTGAAGTTTCCAGTCATACTTGGGAGGATCTAGGTATATCCTAAAAATAAGGGGGGGGGGAAGGTAGAGAGAGAGAGAGAATGGAATAACATACTATCCTAGGGAAGTTCGGGGGAATGATGCCCAGAAATGGCCTCTGAGGCGTTTTGAGCGACCGATTTCTGTCATGTACAGTGTAATTGCTTGAATATTTTAGATTTTATAGATAAGTTATATATCATTAATAGTTAAGATATGATATTACATTAAAAGAACATTTGTCAAAATTTTAACAATCTGAGTAGTAGTTCACCTATACAACAATAATATTTAGTTTATTTAACGTCGCAATCATGTTTTACTGTAATTCACTGCTGACTAAGAAGTTACTAGAAAGGCCGGATGAACTCCTCGGAGCCAACGGTCAATAGGCAACCATGCTTTAGTTAAAGGAATAGGTTTTACTTTCATAGGACATCAACTTTTTCAAAATGTCATAGTCAAAGAGCTCAATCACCAAGCGCATAAAGGGTTTTTACATGATGCGCTATGCAAATTCAACTATTATAATTATTACATAGTTAAAAGATATTAATTTCAATTTTATCTGTTTTTGTAGGGTTACAAGATGGATGATCTCCTAACATCTTACATCAGTCAAATGCTGACGAACATGAACAAACAAAAATCAACAGCGAAATTTACATAACAGTTCAAGACCAATAGAAATAAATATTTTTAAAGGATGAGCTAATTATGAAAAAAATGGAAAAAAAAGAAAGAGAAAAAATTATAGTGTTGATGAATGTACCTTGATTTAAATACAAAATTTATGTTTTTGTCTAATAATGAAGATTTTTTTTTTAATTCTTGCAAAAGATTTAAACACCATTGGTTTACGTTGTAAAGTTATAAATTTGGTAATACTGCCTTAATCTTTGTAAGAATGTAAACATTTTGAGCTATTTAATCTTTGATTGGTTGTGATGCTGGTATAACCTCAATTCCATATGGTGAATGTTAAACATCCCATGACCCCTTGGAACTTTCATTAAAGGTTAATTAAGTTTATACAGTTCAACTGAAGGTCATTAAAAGATATAAATGACCCTAAAGATATTTGTTGTTGCTGATAAAGAAAATAAATATAAGTATTTGGACAAAAATTTAGTTGGTCAAATAAGTAAATAAATAAATAAATAAATAAAT